ACTACATCTGTGGGAAGAAATGATGAAAAAGTCCAGTATCACCAGTCAGAAAATGACCAGGGGCTGAGTGCAGGACACATCATTAATTGTGCATCGCCAAGTTCAGGCTGAAACTGAAGAAAAACAAAACAAGCGCATGAGAGTGAACGCACAAGCTTGGGTAGATCCCACCAGAATTTAGAGTTCATACCAAGGATGGATTTGATACACTGCGCGCATTGAAGACCAGATGAGACGTGAGATGACATCAAGGACATCAAACATGAAGAAAGCAGAAAGTTATTCAAAAGATAGAAAGAAAGAAAAGGCCAAAAATGGTTATTAAAAGACACTCTGAACCTTGCTATTGAATGTAAAGTAGCTAAGGCGAACAGAGGAAATGATGACATAAAATAGCTGCCCAGAAGATTTCAAAGGGTGGCTGGAAAAGGCAAAGTAAAATATTATAATGAAATGTGTAAAGACCTGGAGTTAGAAAACCAAAGGAAAGAACAATTTTGGCATTTCTTAAGCTAAAAGAACTGAAAAAAAACTCAAGCCTCCAATTGAAATATTGAAGGATTCTAAGGAGCTCTGGTAGCGTAGTGGTTACGAATCGGGCTGCGAACCTTAAGGTCAGCGGTTCGAAACTACCAGCTGCTCCGCGGAAGAAAGATCAGGCTTTCTACTCCCGTAAGAATTTACACCCTCGGAAACCCTGTACAGGGTCGCTATGGGTCGGAACCGACTCGAGGGCACTTAACAACAACAACAACATGGGCAATATACTGAAGGATGCAAGAAGCATCGAAAGAAGATGGAAGGAATGCAGAGTCAGGGTACCAAAAACTGTTGGTCAAAGTTCAACTATTTCAGGAGGGAGCAGATGATCAGGAACTTTTGGTACTGAAGGAAGAAATCCATGCTGAAAGCACTGTCAAAAAGCAAAGCTCCAGGAATTGATGGAACGAAAATCGATGTGTTTCAGCAAATAGATGCAACGCTGGAAGCACTCAGTCATCAATGCCAAGAAATTTGGAAGGCAGCTGCTGCAAGAGATCTATATCTATATCTATATCTATATCTATATCTATATCTATATCCATTCCCCAAAAAAGTGATCAATAGGATATGGAAATACTGAATAATATCATTAATATCACACCCAAGTAAATGTTTGCTGAAGATCATTTTTAAACGGTTATAGCAGTACATCTAGCAGTAAAGCTGCCAGAAATTCAAGCCAGACTCAGAAGAGGATACGGAATGAGGGACTCCATTGCTGATATCATTAACCCCTATGCTGATGGGAAGCTCGGGACAGACATACAGGGGTGCCCCCTACTGCAGTAATGCTGCCTGTGCCGATGGTGAGCTCATGTGGAGACGCCCCCTACACATACACACACACACACAGAGTAACCCCTATGCTGATGATGGGCTCCCTGTGGAACACACCTCCCAGGAACACCCCGTCCTGATGGTGAGCTCTGCATGGGGATGACCCCTCCTACAGTAATGTCCCCATCCATGCTGATGGTGAGCTCTGTGTAGGGGAACGCCCCCTCCCAATAACACCCCCTGCTCTGATGGTGAGCTCTGTGCAGAGGTGCATTACTGGGAGTAATGCCCCCTGTTCTGATGATGAGCTCTGTGCAGGGGTACCCCTAGGAATGCCCCCTGCTCTGGTGATGAGCTCTGTGTAGGGGTGCCCCTAGTAACACCCCCTGTTCTCTGGTGGTGAGCCCCGTATGGACAAGGCACTGTTCTGGGCATAAATCCTGACCCATGCCAATGTAACAGCCACTGTAGGATGGCCATGGATTCAGAAAACGCTCACACAGGGATTCCTTTCATCAAGAGACCCACGCAAAGGTCTTCCCTCCTTCCCACACAGCAGCCCCGGGGCCAGCGAGATCCTGACCACCTCTCCCCTCATCCACCTCTGGGCTCTGGGCCCTCACCCTCATAACTATCACCCATCGTGTGCTGGTTCCTTAGGGAAGGTGGGCCTGGCCTAGGCTGCCTCCCACGA